TCCAGTCCTGTGTCAGGATTATAAATTCCACGTGAGGCAGAGCTGGCTTCTGTTGCTTGCAGCTCCAGAACTCTAGCTGATGGTGGTAGAGGAGAGTGTTTTCCAATCTTCCAGCTTCGCAGTGTTGAACACCTGCTGGGACAAGCCATCCAGCTTGTTCACCTGGGGCCACTGTCATAGCACATCAAGAGGGGAAGACCAAAGAATTCTGGCCATTGCTGCAGAAGCAGCAGCAAGTTCATCATCATTATTAAGATGTTTCTGGGGGGCCAAGTGACAAGGCTTTCATGAAGACACCACGGTTCTGAATGGATCCTGTTCCCAGACGCATGGAGGAGCCGCTTCTGGAGCGGACACCGATCTTGTCCTGCCTGGGTCTTTCTCTGCCTCAGCTGTGAGGCAGAGGTGACAGGAGTGATGAGTTAAGGATACAGTGAAGATCCTAAGTTCTTGCAGCCTCCCTCCACCTGTGGAGTTTCGATGGGGTGGGGGGCAGGAGTGGGGAGATGATAATACAGCAGAGCAAGTCACCTTTTGCTCAGATACACCCTCAAATTCACCTCTGCCTTTCAGCTCTGTAGCGGGGACCAGTGCTGTTCTACTGATTGTTACTCTCCTGGTTTGCCAGGACTTGGGGAGAAAAGGAGCTTGGGGATCCTCGGCAAGTCCTTAAAAATGCTGCAGGCCCTTACTTGCAAAGTTGGTGCAACTTTGTCTCTTTCCAGCTGCCCCCACAAGGGTAGGTCAGACAGGCATGCGCGCATGCAGCAGGCTCTGGATTTGGGACAGAACAGCCTTTAGGGTTTTGCTCAGGCTTGGCCCCTTTGCCTAGAAGGCTCTCTTGCTCCTCTTCTGCCTGCTCAAACTGAGTAAGAGCTCACGTGTGGCAGACCAGGGTTTGAATCTTGGCTCTACCACTCATGACTCTGGGGTCTTGGACAAGAGGCTTACCATCTGGGAGCCTCCGTTTTCCCAGCTATGAAGTAGGCATCCTAATAGTGTCGCACTGGGCACGGGGGGTAATTGATCATACATCTTCTCCTTAGATTAGTTCTGCCTCTTCCTCACCCCCTCGTCCTCTTAGCAAGCTCTGCACGGCAGAATGGTATCCACATTCTTCCCTCCTGTACCCCCAGGACTCAGCACAGCCTGGAACATAGGTAGGTCCTTTGTGTCTATTTGTTGGATGAATGAACATGAGCCCGTACTCCCTGGCAGTCTGGCTTCCTGGGCTGGTTCCTGGCTGGGGCACCTAACAGCTGCCAGGCCCATCTGGCACCATCTGTGATGGTGACAAAGCCATCCAGGCCGCATGGAAGACTCCATGCGGCACCTCACTGCCCCATGAGGGTTGATACTCCCTTCCCCGGACAGGGTCCGTGGGTGGAACATAAGTAGGTCAGGGAGTCAGTGGGGCCAGCCCCTGTGGGGAAAGGATCACGGAGTCCGACATCTGGTACAGGTGCCCAGAGCAAGCAAAACTGTCAAGAGGACAAAGTATCACTGTGTACCTGTCCCCACCTCTTTGCGCCCAACTTCAGACTCTTCTGCTTCCCTTGGAGGCACCTCTCCTGCAGCCCCCACAGGGTCCGTGTGTAACATAAGTAGGTCAGGGAGTCAGTGGGGCCAGCCCCTGTGGGGAAAGGATCACGGAGTCCGACATCTGGTACAGGTGCCCAGAGCAAGCAAAACTGTCAAGAGGACAAAGTATCACTGTGTACCTCTCCCCACCTCTTTGCGCCCAACTTCAGACTCTTCTGCTTCCCTTGGAGGCACCTCTCCTGCAGCCCCCCCCCCCCCCCCCCCACCACC